GTTATTTGTTCAAATATTACTGTGATTCACTTTCTCATTTCACTTTCAACTCTTATCATTCAAACTCCAACAATAACTTAGATAATCAAACCAACGAGGTACTTCATTACATATTTTCATCATTTCTAACGTGATTTTAATTTGTTCAGCCCTCTTAAATTTTATTTTTATATTATCATTTTGAGGTATACTATGAAATCTACCTAATTTACATTCAAAATCATTGTAAATTTTTCACCCGCCTTCTTTTCAGTGATGACTTGTCCAAAAGCTAATTCTTCAACTGGAAATTAGACATCTTTAATTCTATGTTGCGTTGGAATAACTAAGTGACTATCAAAATAAGTCAGTGACACGTACAACATACATATATATATATGTGTGTGTGAATGTTAATTTGTTCATGTCTACATATTTATATGCAAATTGATGGACAAGTTCTACTATTCACAATGTTTGATGAGCACTATCATCAAGTATGAAAGAATTCACTATGAATATATATGAAACGTATTCACACATATTTTATATTAGAAGAATAACTAGCTCTGGTATAGAGAAATGACGTAATAATGTCATTCTATCAGTGAATTGATGCCTTTTTCATCATTCTTGTTGCTGTCCTAAATTTCACTGTCATATTAGTCTAAGATTTTTGTTTGTTTCAACTAACAATATATATATATATAAAGTTAAAATGTGTTGAGTTTTCAACAGGAAATTTTATTCTAAATTTTAATTTTCCCTAACTTGCCAGAACTACTCTATAAACAATAGTAATAAGGGAAAATTGTTGCTGCATTTACTGTTTCTTCTCATCTTCGAATCAGAGTGAGAGATATACTGAACAAAGGGTAAATAATCATTTTCAAGTTTTGGCTTTGAAGAGATCAGACTGATTTCAAGAATCATCACGAACTGATTTCATTTCAGAACTCTTGAAAACCAGGTACAGCTGTTTCATCATTTTTGCGGTTATTCAAAAGTAGACACCCAGTACCCTACTATGCATCGATCCCATGACCTTCGTGTAACAAGGCGAGACCGTTGACCATTCAACAATCCGTGAATTCTAACTTCTATCAATTCGCGATATGTAGAGCGGCTGCTATCCTGTGATCCATGATTTTCAAGAGTTCTCTAGCTTAAGTCAGTTGGTGATCAGTTTTCAAACAGTCATTTCATTTGAACAAAGCAATAACTACAGTTTTTGCAGAATAAAGTGGTATCATCTTTTATTTCCTTGCCTTCTCTTCAGCTGCTTACAGGCCAAAGACATTATTAAATATATCTACAAAAACAATTTTAACATACTTGCACAGAGTTCATTTTAAACAAAAGTCAATCGATCAATATATGCATACAGTAATAATATATACATATATATATATATATATATATATATATATATATATGTAATATTAAACACTTCCGAAGAATAATAATCACATACAATGGAAACTTTTCAGCATTACGCATTCAGATGAAAGAGAGATAAAAATATCCAGTTACCAGGTTGGCAAAGAAAGACTGATAACCGCTTCTTTCTGGACGCAAAACTCAGGTTTCATGTGCCTGATGGAAATGGCTTCAGCAAACCTGAGGAGAATTGAGCCATTTTGCCCATTGATAATTTTGAACGACTTTTCGATATCCACCTCATGACCCGTGTTGAGGAGATGCCTGGCGATGACACTGTTTAAAGCATTTGTTCCCTTTAGACAAAAGCTTTTTGGTACATGTTCAGAAAATCGTAGATATGCCCTTCTTTCTGTTCTTCCAATGTAACCGCTCCCACAGATGCATGTAAATTTGTATATACAGTTAAAATTAACATGAGAAGAATATCTATCGATTTTTGACTGCACCAAAAAGCAAGTTGTTCGATAGACGGGGACGAGCTTAGCTGTAGCATAGGCTATGGCTAGTGATGTACTCAGCCTTCTGTTGATCATTGATGCAATGTTTTCATCTTTATAATCAAGCTGAATGTAGATTGTCATTTTACCCACTGTGATTTGTTTTCAAAATTATCAATAGGCAAGTGAGCTCAATTCTCCTCAAGTTTGCTGAAGCCATTTCCATCAAGCGCCTGAAACCTGAATTTTGCGTCCAGAAAGAAGCGGTTATCAGTCTTTCTTTGACCTGTTAACTGAATATTTTCATCCCTCTTTCATCTGAATGCGTGATGCTGAAAAGTTTCCATTGTGTATGATTGTTATTCTTCGGAAGTGTTTAATATTACATATATATATATATATTATTACTGTATGCATATATTGATCGATTGACTTTTGTTTAAAATGAATTCTGTGCAAGTATACTAAAATTGGTTTGTAGATATATTTAATGATGACTTTGGCCTGTAAGCATCTGAAGAGAAGGCAACGAAATAAAAGATGGTACCACTATATTCTGCAAAAACTGTAGTTCTTGCTTTGTTCAAATTCATTAAGGGGAATAAATGTATAAAGTCATCTCATTATCGTAAGTTTCGGTGTCTATGATGTATCAAGAAACTACATGCATATATCGTCTTATTCTGTTTAATGATTAACAGCTCTATAACAATGTTTGAGAAAGGCAATTTTTGACTTTGTTTAACCAAGCTTGACAGAAGTCTGGAGAACATTGCTGCGCTCCTTTACTTAGATGTCTCCAAGCCTTATTAGAGTATCCATAGCTTAACAGGTATGTTCATTGATATCCAATGATTGGTCATGAGGTTCCGTTAGTTTTACTGGATCACAAACTATTCTCAATGTGTCTTGTTAACCCAAGATTCAAGTGTTGAAACTAAAATACTTTAATTAGTAAGATTAGTCAGATATGCTCTACGAATTATTATTCAGTTCAGTGTGGGAATTCACGACGATGATTTCCTCTACAGATCAAAGTATTTAGATCTTCTCAATACCAAATTGAGAAAACAGTTCACCCAAGTAATTATCCAGAATTCGGGGATGGCAGGGTGGGGAGTGGGTTAAACTGATTCAACCCTTTGAGCTCAGCCTATCCAGGTGCGCCCCCCGCTGATGGTAAAGGTTCCTAACTAGCGAAATAAACATCTAGTGTTTAGATTATTTCGGTCTGGCTAACAAGCATCACCGTTTGACGTGAGTGATTTCCAGTTACTTATATAAATCAGTATTATATACTATAACGTTATAAGAATACTAATCCAACAATTAACCCAATATCATTTTGTATTTGTATTTGAGTTATTTGACTTTAGAACAATTTGTGGGCACTACACTAACTCGAAAATAGTTTCCACTAAAAGATCCTATCAGGCAGTCTGAAATTCAAAATGTCAGATAAGCACTAGACAGTTTTAAATCCATTTATAGGTTTTTATTAGTAAGAATTACTAGAATATTCAGGTATATTCCATCAACTTCAATATGATTCATTGTCTAAAGAAAATGTATCTTCAAAAAATAAATAAATAAAAATCGGTTCTGAAATAATAGAGAAGATTTGTAGCTCAGGTGGATGATTTGCAATTAATAGTGTTCTCTGAGCTGGTTGGTTCGGTTACGGAGCTTTCGTCGTCCTTCTGGATAACATCTTCAGCGCAACATTTAGCATAAAGTGAAGTGATTTAAATTTCTTCATGACGCAATTATGTCACTCATGAAGAAATTTAAATCATTTCACTTTATGCTAAATGTTGCGCTGAAGATGTTGTCCAGAAGGACGACGAAAGCTCCGTAACCAAACCAACCAGCTCAGAGAACACTATTAATCGCAAAAATCAGTTCATACTATCTTTTGTAATTTTGTAAACATTACTTCTAATCTGGAAGATGTATTTGTTAGTAAAAAAAACAACCTTTAAAGTATCGATTATCTTTGTCATTTTACTTTTTCTGTTGAATTGAATCCAGACACATTATTGATATGCTTGTAATTTGGTCACTGACCTAGGAGACTCTCCATCGTGGTGAACTTTTATGTTGATGCTAGGTGGTAGGAGGTAATCAGCAGGAAGCCCTGGACTTAAGTTTCATGCTGACTGACACATGTAGAGACAAGGCTTATCTGAAACTCCAAAGGATTTTATGCACCCTTTAAGATTCAAATTTGAGTCTCTAGTTGATGCAGTTCAAGACGTTATCAGTCTTATTGATATAGCGTGAAGTTATCTAAAGTCTAAAAGTTTATTGGAATGCTATAATGTAGTAGCTTCCGTCTTTCGTTCAGTTAAATTTAGAACTTGTGATAGGTCTAGAAGTAATCCTTTAAGTTCTATTGCCTTTTATGTAAATATCTATGACAAGTACTTGTGCGATCAGAATGTTCAGAATGCGTTGTATAAGTACACATTCATTAAAGGTTTCAGATAAATTAAATCTTCTTATTGTGTTGTTGAAATTCATAAAGGGAACTAATTGTTATAAATTTTAATCCCATGTATTATAGAGTTTATGTGAGTAAAGAAACTCGACAATATAAATATATTTGCTCCCTAGTCATCGGTCAGTGTACCCGTTTCAGACCTATGTTAAGGTTAGTCTCACACTGAATAGCTCAACAGTGGCTTCTCTGACTGTGTAACTATGTGACTTGGGTTCAGACACGAGTGAGGAGACACCAGTTTCTTGAAGGTCAAAGATACGCCTTGCCGGTAATAAGTACGGAGCCTAGGTACATGGCTTCTTACTGATTTCCTCCAACCATCTAGTAGACAGGGAAAAACTATCTACTATTTCTAACACTTTGACTTTACTAGCGACAACCAATATCTAACGTGGTATATACGGTCAGTCAGCAGTTTATATGGTGCTGTCTTTCCAGTAAACTTCTCTATGACATTCCTGCCATTAGATGCTTAGTGTGAACATTCTGAATTTTCATTGAAATACAAATGAGGTTTCATGAGTCCACTGCTCCTACTTTATCGCTCTCATCCCAGATTTAAGGTATTACAAGCCATTATTAATAATAATTCAAAAAGTTAAAGTTGTAAAGAATTTAAATTAAGAACTGATACTTACTTAAACTTGTAGCATTAGCCATTGTAGAACTCATCATAATATTCGTCGAAGATATTGCTATTGTTGCTTCTGAAGCGGAAGGAGACAAATGACCAAATTTTGATACTGTAGGTATCATTTGAGAAGAGAGGAATATAGGAGTCTCAGGTACAGTGGAATTTAACTGATTACCTGAATCTGAACTATCATATTGACTGCATCCCTTCAGCTGACTTAACTGACTCTTCATATCACTTCTTGTCTCACAGTCAGTTATCTTTTGTATACAATTCAAAGTAGTGCCTGATAATTCACAGTTCATAGGATTAGAAAATGTGTTACAAGACTTTGATTTCAACTCCATTTTCATAGTATCCTTGACAGATGTATTAGAATTTGTAAGTATAGCTAATAAATCCATTTCTGATGAAGTTTTGATTATTGATGATGAAGGAATCGACGATGTTCCACTATTACAATAGTGTTCACAACATATTAAAAATTTGTCATTATGTACGAGATAATATTGATCGCCCGTGGTGAACTGTTTTTCACAAACTGCACATTGGAAACAATTAATGTGGTAAACATAATGACGTGCAAATCGAACCAATTCTCCATTACGAATTAGTCGATGACATGCTGAACATTTTGGACCGAAATTTCTGTAACAAAACAATAATAGTTAATTTTTATGAATTTGTACTCAATTGGTTACTAGAATATGGGTTTAAGGTTTTAATTAAAAGTATATATATACACTTGGTACTATTGTGAGATCGATGTCATTACACACGTTTGAAAAAATATGAAATGCGTTAATAGGAGAAAATCTGGTACGGGAGGTTTCTGGTCACCCATTTTCACCAAACCCTACCTCTAAATACTTATTGGTTGGTAATAATTAGTTAAATTTGACAAAAAGTCATCAGGACATTATTGTTATATTATTATTATTGTTTCCTTTAATTCCTAGAGGAACATAGGGCTTCAGCCGTGCGTCTCCATGGCGTTCACTTCTCTGCTAGAGTCTTCATCTGGCTCCAAGTCTGCCCACATGCTTTCATCTCCTCTCCACATGACCTCCTCCAAGTTACCTTAGCATTGACGACCAACTCGCCGCTTCCCTTTCGGTTGGGTTCCACTCAAGCAATGGCTTGTCTAGTGATGTCACTTGATGGTTTCCCCAGAGTATGGCCAGCCAATCCATCTCCATTTCTTCCTGCCTATTTGTTTCACAATCGGTTCCTGGTGGGTTGGTTCGCTCATTGCCAGAGATCTCTATTGCTGATCTTTTCTGGCCATTTGATCTTGGGTAGTATTGAGTGAAGACAACTGTTAATGAAGGTCTGTAGTTTGTTTGAGATGCTCCTTATGACGCACCAAGTCAGGACATTAAAAGAAATATATTTTTTTTCGATAAAAAATTTTTTATAATACATTAATTTGATACATGTTGGAAATATCTAATATGCACTTATATACAGTATTTTGTAATTTGGGAGTATTATCATTTCATTTTAATTTATTTGAAAGGTTGATATTTTAATGAGTACTCATAGAATTACTGTGTTTACTTTCTCTCAAAAAGAGAGAAGTTAGAAATTTATTTATCATGGGATTCTAATTCAGTGGATGAATGGTCAGTGGGCTCTTCTTCATAACCTGTAGATCCTGGAGGCCTAAACTACAGATGAACAGCTCTTTAGCGATTCTTGATCTTTGGTGCTCCTCTAACTCATATCTCAAGGTGTATTTTAATGAAAAATTGACTTTTTCAGCAATTTTCTTAAATGCTTTGATTGGACACTAGAAACCAGTGTGATGTGTCTAGTCCTTTCTTTGGTTCAGACTGGATTCTATCAGTCAGTCAGGTTTGCAATGTGGCCACCATTCTAGGTAGCTCGCCATCACGGTGTACATTGATTTGATGATATTAGATGGTTGGAGGCAATCGGCGAGTGCCAACTAGCACGAAACCTAGGTCCAAGGTTTCCTGCCGATTGTCTCCAACCATCTAATATCATGAAATTTTCCTAAATTTTCTTTTGTAATATAACCTAAATATTCCATTTATACTGGGGTATTATATTGAGATAATATTTTGAATCCATACTTAAAACCATAACTATTATTCATATTTATATAGGGGACTCCAATTCTTCCTCAATAAAATCTATTAAATTTAGTAGCATTAAAACTAATCTGGATCAAATAATAGGATTTCTTTCATATGGTTAGAGGCAATCCGCAGGAAGTCATGGATTTAGCTTTCGCGATTGTTAGCCGTCGTTAGTAAGCCTTATCCCTTCTGGAATTCAAATCCATGTCACTTAGAGGGGATTATCACTTACTTTGAAGTCACAAGTACGCCTTGCTAACGAGACCAACAATCACGAAGTCTAGATCCACGACTTTCTGCTGATTGTCTTCAACCTTCTACCTTCAATTCAAAGTGTACCGCGATGGTGAGTTTGTTCATCATCACATCTCAAACCTGACTGGTAGAATTCAGTTAGCACTAATACAAAACATCAGAAGCATAACAGTGGTCACCTCCTAATGCCCAGTCAATGCCATCTTCTTTCCATTCTGCCTACAAATTTACTTCTTGAAACAGTTAAAATGTAGGAATTATTTGATCAGGAATCTCTATCTAGTCTAGGCTGAGATCCCTTTGTTTTGCTCATGTTCAGAACTTTAAATACTGTTTTTAAAATACTTTGAGGAGACAATAAAACATACGAAGTGATTATAGTATCTTATAGTATAGAAACAATGAATGAGTTATTTTTCTAACATAGCTCGCTTAGTCGCTTGAAATGCATTCCGAAACTCTCAACAACTGCAAGGCTCTCAGGTAACTTTAATGAGGTATCAATAAACATATATATATATCAACTGATTAAAAATGCCCATTAAATTTTCCAAAAGAATGGACACGAAACAAAGAGTACTCTTTTCGATAACTTCATCATTAGGCACTACAGTTATATACACATTATAAGGAATGAATGAATTAGTCTTATGAACAACATTAATGTTGTTTAAATAACATCGAATAAATAATATTGATAGATTACATCTCAATAGCATCAACATAAAATAAGCTGAATGTCAGAAAAATTAAGAAAGATAATAGTACAAATCCATGAGTTTATAGTTTCTACTGAAGGCCAGGGCAGTAGTAGGGGCTGGACTTGTTTCTTTTGAACACAGAGCACTGGTTGTTTGAGGCGAATTGCAATAGCCTATGCTGTTTGGAGCATTCAGTGCTTCGATGATTTTGGCAATTTATTTGGCACTCGGTAGATTATAGAGAAGGATTCTTCCACGTTGGCTTTCTGACCGGTTTGCACCAGATGGTCTAATATCGAGTTGTTAATAGTTTTAAGTACACCTTTACTTAGCCATATTGGGATATGTTCTCGAGCACGAAAAATCAAGTTCCTAGAGCAACGGCCAATGTGACTCCTCCCTCTCACTTGTTCAGTATTTAATTAGCTAGAAGAATCTACATATTAGTTTCACCTATCTTTCCTTCGTGTCCACATGTTTGATTTGAGAGCACAGTAACTAGAGTTAAAAAATAATTAATGTTTTCCAGTACTGTGTACTTACAAATAGTGAAAGCAGTATACAAAGATAAAACAAAATAGTTGTAATAAGTAGTATCTTATGTAAGAACAGAATTCAGCCACTAAGGTAGAAAGAACTGAAACACCGTTTAGTACATAATACTGTTTCATCTCGTGGTGTAATTAACACACCAATACTCAGTGATTTAAGTAAGAACAACACAGAATGGCTTGCTTCAAACACTGATTTTTAACTACTTCTCCTTGATTTACCTCGACTTCTAAGTTATAATAACATTTTAAATTTATAGTGGAATCATTCCTGAATTTATCTTCTCTTTATGATTATTATTAATTCAATATGAAGAACGAAAAGGAAGCAAAGAATATCCTGGATAAATTTAACAATATTCATCCTGCAATAAATTTTACTATTGAGAAAGAAAAAGACTCTAGCATTTCATTCCTAGACGTCCTTATGACCAGAAAAGAGGATAGCACAATAATAAGAAGTGTATATAAAAACCTACATCAACTGGTCAGTATACTCATTTTTTCAGCTTCGTGCCCTTAAAATACAAACGCAATCTAATAAAGTGCTTGGTTCACAGAGCAAGAAAGATTTGCTCGGACGAATGTCTTGACGAGGAACTTAACAATATTAAACGGTTGCTAAGTGAAAATGGTTATCCTGAAAAGTTTATTGATAAGAATCTGAATCTGAAATCAAAGCAGCCCAAGGTACCAGCAGTTCTTAAAAAGGCTTTATTCTTACAAATGCAGTTCCTTGGGGACATCATCAGCGAGATACTAACACAACGCCTTAGAAATGCGGTAAAAAGGGCATTCCGTGCTGCTGAATTACATTGTGTCTACAAAACCACTCCTATTTTGCATTCGGGAGTAAAATATAAACTGCCTAATTTCGCCTCTTCCATATGTATCTACCAGTTTAACTGCTCCTGTGGAGTGAGTCAGTTACATAGGCCGTACAGTCTGCGTGTTTCTCGTCGGATTTCCGAACATCACCCTGCGTGGTTGGTTAAGTAAAGGACAAACAAAATCCATTCGTAGCGCTATTCTATATCATCTTGTGGATACAGAACACAAGGTTGATGTTAACCAGGTTTTCAAAGTCATTTACCGCATACTTACGAATCTCAATTTTGCTTTAAGAGTTCGACTACTAAATATTGCTGAGGCTGTGGGGATCCATATTAACAACTCTAATTTATGCATCCAAAAGAAGTTAGTTCAGTCATTATCATTGCCTTGGCCATCTAGGTTTGAATAATCCGGAATTTTTGTGAAATTTCCCTAATTTAAGTTGATATTCTATTCGCTATTATATCTTTATTATTATTATTTAAGCATCTTTAATGAACTGCAATAGCAATGATCATACTTTACAAATCGATATTATTTAAAAAACGCTAATAATGTTATTAACTACTAATTTAAAATATTCTGTGTATATAAACATACATATATATAACTGTAGAGCCTGGAAGAGGAATTTATCGAAAAGAATATTCTTTGCTCGATTATTTTGTGTATTATTAATTCTTTTACCAGAGACTGTTTATCTCTGTATGAATTGTAGTCCACATTACTAACCTTTCACACTGTTACATTAATAGTGTATTGAGGGGGTAAATACATTCTAGCAGTTATTTACCCATATGTCATACGAAAATTAAGTCTTTGTGTAACTGCAAAAGTTATTTTTTTTCCCTATGAGGTTAGAATATTTCCCGGTTAGATGGCACAATTATACTAGTCCATCGATTCAGCTAACCTTCAACTTACGGCTGCCTTTCATTTGATCAAACCAAATACTCCTTTTTTAAAAGAACTAATTATCATGTCTCATGCATAGTACAATTTTTAATGGCATTAATTGGAATTCATTAACAGTTTAACTGTGATATTTTGCTGCCTGAATTATTACAAAATGTAACCAAAGGCATTAATTAAATTGAGAAACTCTATTTATGTTTGAATAACTGAACTGACAAATTTTGTAGTTAATGTGATATAACATCAGGCTAGTAATCCTCAGACTGTTGATTCTATTCCTGCAGAGA